TGTAGTTCGATAGAGCACATCGAACTGTATATACAGAAAACGTTTGGCTGTTTTCACTAGTGTTTCCGCAGAAAAAATTAATTTTTATATTGCTAATGGGATTGGGGCCAACGATGTATATTTTCGCCCGAAGGAAGTATTGTGGATCAAAATTGTGAATGTAAAAGTTGTTCACGACAAGCAATGGAGAATCAACTCACTCTGGTTTGTAACTTTTCCGAACTTACACCGTTTAGCTTTTGTTTTATTTATCGAAACAGTCGAATAAAATACGATAATTCTTTAGGAAAAAAACGTTATTCTGGTTATTTTATATAAGAAAAGTTACGTAAACTTTTTCTCTTAGGATCCGACTGAGTAAGAAAGTCGTATTGGTGGGACTTTTCTAATGGAAGGCGTCGAAAACCAAAAAAAATTTCTTCCTTTGCAAGTTTTGTTGTCTGAACATCTTTTGAGTATTTATCACATAAGACGGCTTTCCCTTGCTACTGCTCTAGACTGAGAAATTTTGCTTGCCGAACCATTGCTATAGTCCATTTTGTTTATTTTCAGTTACTCAGGCTACTGTGACAACGATTGCAAACATGGTATTGGGAGAAACCCAAGCATTTGAAAACATTCGTAGATCTCATACGCCAATACTTTCATCCGAATCCTCTGAAGTGAAACGGGAAGGCGAACGAGAATGAAAGGAATCTGCAACGATGGGACCAACGACAGCAACGATAATAGATATAATAGACAGCATTCTGACATCTTATCTCTCGTACTGCAAGAGCATGATACTATAAAATTAATGGGAACGGATGCATCGAATAACACTGAAAATGTGTCAACGCCCATAACAGAACAAAAAAGTGAAGAACTGATCAAAGAGAAAAACATTGTTGATCATGAGCTATTACTAAATACAACAGCCATACCACCGCTTACGACTTCACATTTGCCACGTATTTTTGAAGAAAAAGTTGAGATGACAACAATTCAAACAATGTTAGTGAATAACGGACAGGATCCTAGCAGCAGCGTAAACGGTCTAGCGAGTGTTGATTTATCATCTAATAAATAGTACCGATCAAACAAACGAAAATCTTGGTGAAAATATCATACATCCAGCTACAGTAAGAGCATCGATTATGTTCATTCAAATTATTCTAAAAATATTTGAATATAAAGGGATTATTTCGTCTTTCTAGATTATAAATGATTCAACTCTACTGTCTTCTGTATTTACTTCCACTTACTCACCTGCCCTTGTCCCTCTGGAGCATGATATTAACAGAGCTTTTAATCGACAAATCGGTTGACAATTACCAGAAGTATTGGAACCAATTATTCAATTAATTGGAAGTGAAATATTAAAAGGAGTGGACAAAGTAAGAATCACTCTATCATGAGTCAAGTTTCATATTTATTCTTTATTTTCTAGTTGCCAGAATTTATTCAAACTCTCTTCTATGCTCATAATCAAAGTAAACAAGCAATATGGAATAAATTATGGCTTTTTTAATAGTTTATGATTCTTCATTGAAGAATACATTATAATAAATGATCATCAAATGCTTTCAGTTTTTTACAATTATTAATGTAGTTATAACACTAGCAATTATAACGATGAACGATGCTGGTGACAAAAGGCCACATGAAGATGCAATTGCTCCTGCGCCCGCTGCTGCCGCTGGAACTTCTCCTATTGCTACGCTTGCAGCCACAGTAGTGGTACCACCTGTACTAATAGCACGAATAACCTCGAGTGCTAAAGAATCTACCCTAGGCAAAACTGCAGGCGCTACCAAAGCTACAATTCCAAGCACAATCAAGGGTCGATCATAAAATAGGTCCAAATGAATGAGTGAATCGTACATCTAGCGCCAGTGCAGACGTCCAAAATTCATGAGAAGAATTAAAATGGGTTTGTGTTAGAATCTTCTTCCCTAGACAATAATTTATTGAAGATTCAGAAAAGAAATCGCGGTTTTCTTTCCAATCGCCATGAGCTGTGACGGTCAGATTGGCCGATCATAACTAAAAACACATCATGGAAAGACTCATGTCAGCTTCTTGTCTGCTTTTGTTAAGAATCTTATCTGATTCTTAACAGATTCTTATATAAGAAGTAGCACGAAAATGGCAAGAATTCCATAAGAATCAGATAAGAATCGGGTAAGAAACTTGCAAGGATTTCATAAGAAAGTGATAAGAGTCCCTATTAATTTCTTAATGATTTCTTATGAAATTCTTATACGACAAATTTTTTTCTCCACTCAAAACGATTCTCTGTGCAGTTCCCCTAAGCTTTAACAATTATGAGCAAAAAATAGAAATTTTAAAAAGACCGATCCGTTCAGGCTTCGAACCTGGTGAGTTGTTTATGACAATTCATAACTTCTTCTATTGATCGAGCTACTGCGGACACAGCTATACATAAACATCACATCTTTATATTCTGCCACAACATCTTTTTCAAGTTGTACGTGAAAATGCAGTTGCATAGGGTTTTGGAACCATGCTAATAATCCCATACACGAATGATTTCTACCACTAACAGTCCATTACCCGATGATTAAATATTTGATTAATGCATGATAAAATAAATTAAAATTATAACAAAACTATGTGCCCTCGAACTTTCGCGCATCAACCCATCAAGGGAAGAAGATTCGAACGTAAACCCATTTTAATTCTTCTCATGAATTGTTCTATAAAAACTTAGAGAAAAAATACAGATGATTTTCACAAAAATATGATTAAGAAATAAATAATAGTAAATAGTTTATGATTCTTCATTGAAGAATACATTATAATAAATGATCATCAAATGCTTTCAGTTTTTTACAATTATTAATGTTGTTATAACACTAACAATTATAACGATGAACGATGCTGGTGACAAAAGGCCACATGAAGATGCAACTGCACCTACACCAGCTGTTGCCGATGCAATTGCTCCTGCGCCCGTGGCTACTGCTGAAACTTCTCCTATTGCTACGCTTGCAGCCACAGTAGTGGTACCACCTGTACTAATAGCACAAATAACCTCGGGTGCTAAAGAAGCTACTGTAGCCAAAACTGCAGGCGCTACCAAAGCTACAATTCCAAGCACAATCAATGCAGCTCCACCAGCCACGACAACCCCGGGTAGTGATACTGCACTGCCGCTCCTCCAGCAGCAGCTGCTGCAGCACCAGCGACTGTTCCTCCTGTTCCCACTGCTGTTCCAACCGCTGCCGTTGCATGTGTAACATCGAATTTATAACAAATGCAAATAATAAATAGAAATGTTATTAATTTTGTAAAATACATTTGGAGATAATATGTGTTTAATTGACAGATTATTCTATTAAATTTATTGTAAGTATTTAACACAGCAGTTCATGTTGCCTTTTATAAACATTCACGTTTGGAAAAGTCCAACACAAAGATGCATTGTATTAAACATGATTCATTATACTTTTTTCAGAAAAAAGTTTCCCTGCGTGCCTTTTATAAACATTCACGTTGGAAAAGAAAGAAACCATACTTTTTTTTAAAAGTAAATAGAAAAATTATTATTTTTTTCTTTCATTATACTTTTTTTGCACAATCACCATAAGATTTTCGAAGAAATACTTGGAAAGGAAGAAAAAACACAGAACTTTTTTCTGCAAAAAGTATAATGAATCATGTTTAATACAATGCATCTTTGTATTGGACGTTTCCACATCTAAAACATGCCTAATGAAGTTTCTAAGCGCTGTACGTTATGTACCTTTAATCATGATATTTATTATATACTGCTTAAGTAATTGATGGAAGAAATGTTATAAATTTCATGGAGGCTGTAAACGGGTCCAAACAATTTGATGCTAATGAAATTACATCAGATGACGCATTTTCGAAAGAAATTTAAGTCAATGAGAAAAGGCGAACCACTCGGAGTTAAAATACCACATGAAGATAATTTGAAAGAAATATACAAGTCCGACAGATTTTATGTATATCTATATGCATATCCAGATTCATATGATCAGATGAAGTTGGCACACTTATTTGTTCATCCGTGTTTTTCCTTCAAAGCATTTCTATCATTATGTCTTATGTATAAAACTGCGGTCTTTCAATGTTACTGTCGTTTATTATCTTATAATTCATTTTCATTGTTAACTGATATTCTTTTACTCGACTATTTTCAATATAAGTGTCGGTCAAAGTCGAGTCGCACATTGAATATACATGAAGAACAATTATTTAAAGGTAGGATTTAAGTTCGATGCAAGTCAAAAAATTAACTGTTTATGTTCGCTTTCTGTTATTCAAGTGTCAGACTTGTTTGAATCTGAACCACAGAAAATAAGTAGTGCGAGCCTTTCCTTCATTGCAACAATCAATGACTTTGAGTACAATCTAAGGACACGATTTCAGTCATTAGTATGGCTATCAGCGGTTAATTGGGAAAACTTTGTAGTAGCTGGTGGTGCGGTTCGCAGTTCTTTATCCAAAATGCCTGCCTTTTATAAACATTCACGTAGGAAAAGAAAGAAACGATAAATTTTTTTTAAAAGTAAATAAAAGAATTACGGCTTTTTTCCATGAAATTTATTTAACACTTGTTCCAGCCAAGTACTTAAGCAGTATATAATAAATATCCTGATTTAAAGGTACATATTGTACAGCTTCATACTTAGGAACTTCATTAGGCGTGGTTTAGATGTAATTCATTCTGAAAAGTTATAGGAAAGGTTAGCTTTATTTCAACCGTACTGGCTTTCATCAGTCATTTTTGGAAAGATTAGTCTAATTTCAACTGCTAGTACGTTAATCTAAACTTATTTATTTTCCAATAAGTCGAGCTGGCTCATTACATGTTCGTGGAAGTTGAATAAAAGTGAGAAGAGAATCTACTATTCGTTTTTTGAAATAAGGGTACTCGGCAAAATCCTTATAACTTTTTAAGGAAGGCACAACGTTTTTTCACGCTAGTTTTCGCAAGCGAAAATCGGGAAAAATAGCCTGTTTTCTCAAAGAAATTTTTTTTTCTGTTTTTGCATAGGTTTGTAGCCCGAAGCGCCGCAAGTCTAATGGTGTCTAAGCAATACCGAAAATTTTGCTTTCTTGCCGAGATATAGGCGTTTTAAGTTCACGGGTAGGCGTAAAAAACGTATATTTTGGAAAAGAGAAAAAACACTGGAAACATGGGTTTTCGAGTACGCTGATCATTCTAAGAGTGTTTACTCTGAGTTCTCACTGCTTTCAATCTATAAACCTAAGGTGTGATGCAGTGGAAGAAAGGCAAACGGCCAACCCTTTCCAAAAACAACACTCTTTTTTAGTTTTTACTTTCTTTTTGGGAAACACACAGAGCGAGTAGAACACTTTTCCTTTATTTCTCATACACTACAAATGACAACTAAAAATGTTTTTACAACAAAATACAATGTTATTCTTGTTCCTCATCATCTCCAGTGTCTGTTTCATCAGCTTGCAAATCACATTCAATTTCGTCTTCTATGATTGCATCAGCTTTCTATAAAGTGTCTTCTATTTTGGAAACATAATGAAAGTAAGATGTTGCAAGTTTACTGTCCATTGAAGACATGAATTGTTTTATCAACTGTTTGACGTCCCCTTGTCTAAATGTTGTATTCTGGTCCCTAACAAACTGCTGAAGATTATTCCACGAATATTCTATCGGATTGAGAGAACAGTGTAACAAAGGCAGACGAAGAATCTGAATATTATACTTGGATGCAATTTTGTCACTCTATGAATGATAGGAAGAAGAGCAGGATGAATTTATTTTAAAACAAATCAGCCTAAACTGAGCAACAACGAGATATTCCTTCGGCGGGGCGTTTGCTTTGACCAGTTCGAGCAATTGCATTTTAACAAAGTGATCAGGAAACTCGATACGACGGTCACTTAGCCATGTCTGTACATCTGCTTTTCTAGAGGCACATTTTGGAATGATACTCGCTTCTGTTTGCATATAGTGCCACGTTGCATTATCTATGACGATCACAATACTTTGTTTATCTCCTACGAAATGACGCGGGAATATGAAAAAAAGAGCCGCGCACAACCGTAAAAAGCTCACCGATTTCAATTCTTAATGTGGAACAAGTGGTATCTAGCCAGGATAGGAATCGCTCAGAATTCATTTGATGTTCTTCACTACAAGTCCAAATATCAACAGAGGGAAGATGATATCCACTTGTAGATATCAATGCCGAGACTGCCAATCGAGGGCATAAAATCAAGGTAGCACTTGCGGAATAAGGGTAGAAATTTGCGGTTACCTCACGACATACCCTTTCCTTCACCTGTCTTTATTCGACGTTCTCCGTCGAGAACCCAAATGTATTCTCGAAAGGTGACTTTATTGCGCTTTTTTCTTTTCAACGTTCCATTACTCTACTTATTGCCATAGAAAACTCCCGAATAGACTAATTTCGACACCTTTCCGTAAAGTGCCACCCCTAACTAGTGCTCATCTGCGAATGATCGCATGATTTGCTAAGACCATAATCCATCGGCGACCATACCAAAATAAGAATAAGAAAACGAAAGAGAAATTCACGTGTGGAAATCTCGCGTGCGTTCACTAAGAAGAAAAAGACTAAACATTACAACAGTCGATATCCTTATATCAGTAGTGAACTGAATATATTCTTACTCTTACTTTAACTTGAAGAAGTTGAAATTTATTCAGAATAAGTGCACAAAGAGCGAGTTGAGAGATGTGAACAGAATCGTGCACTTATTTTGAGCTCAAATTCTAACTAATTTTGACATGTATTGCGTCATGTTCCCAAAGAGAAAAACGGGTAAAACATGGTGAAATTAGAGTCCTAACCAGAGTTGCCAGATGCTCAGGTCAGAAATACGGAAAATTTTTGTCAGAATGCGGAAAAAAAACGGAAACGCATTTTCATGGTCTAACTTCAACCGTTTTCGCGCGCAGAGAATCAAAAAAATGTTTTCTCTAGCACTTTGTGGTTTTACTCAATAAAACACCAGAGAACAACAAACAGAAATGTAAATATCGATTTTAATTGACACGTTGTTTTTTGACTGTATATTTTTTATTAGAATGTATAAGTTTAAGCAGATCTGGCGTTGAGAAGAAATAATTATAAATTTCAGTGCATGATAACGATGAGTTTAAGCGAATTTTAAACTCAGTTACAATCATTTCTGTTGACATACGATTTCTTTGATCGTCAAATAAATGTTTCATGGCAGAAAACACACTCTCGACGTATGAATTATTGCACGGAATCGAAAATATAAACGAAACTAATTTGTGCATATTTGCAGATGATGTTGGTTTCACAGAAAAAAATTTTAAATCATATGAGCAGGGGAAAAACAGCAAAAGCAGCGAATGTTTAAAATGCGAACAGCGGACAAATTGCGGAAATAACTCCAAAATGGGGATCATCTGGTCTGAACTGTCATAAGAAAATTCATTCAAGATGAGTTTTCTTGTCCATAAAAGTTGTGTTTATTAGTGTTCTTATGGCAAGAAATGAGCTTTCATGAGATGAAAAATAAAATTGTTACCTAGTTTTGGTTCCTACCAGTTTTTCGTAGGATTTTTTCTTGTCGTTAGAGAATCTTTATGGCGAGACTTGGTTGCATCATGTTCTCGAAGAAAAGTCCGAGTAAAACATGGTGTAACCAAATTTTCCCTTGCGTCTTGCATGAATAACCCTTTTTTAGATGGCTTCACGATAAAATATTTGGTGTTGAGTCAATATCCTAGTTCTCTATGTAGAATCTTTGATCTTAGTCGAACTCAAAGCGAGAAGCCCAATCGTCTCTTCTTTGCTTTTTTGAAGGGTATGTTTACAGTTCTTCTTTCTTGATATTTATACCTCTTATTATAGCTTTATTTTTGTTACTTTGTTTATGATGTTGGCTGGAGTCTTTGTTATTCTAGGTCGCGGACTAGCCCTGCATCTTACAACTTTTTCAAAACCTATAACCTGTCCTGTAAAAACTTTAACAACCTATAACCTTCCATAACCTTCTACCTCGTGAAATGAACCGCTTGATGACATCGGTTTTTCTGTCAATGTCACAAGGTCGCCGTCTTTCAATTTTTATACACTGTAAAGTCGAGAATTATTTTTAGAAAATGCTCGGCGATTTTCAAACAGTCCATATATAAAATCCTCACGGATTCTCCAGATTATAGAAAATCGAATTTCCAATAATGTGGAAAATCGACATCGATTTTCTACATTGTTGGGAATTATTTATAGAAAATTCTCGACGAATTTCCGTCTAGAAAATCCTCACGGATTTTATATATGGACTTTTCGAAAATCCAAAACTCGGACTATTTTCTACTTTCTAGAAAATCGCTGAGGATTTTCTAGATGATGAGGAAGAATAATTTGAATGAGAATCAGAGACTTGTGTGAAAATGGCTGAAGATAAACTTTTTCACCATTATTAAAAGCTATTGAACTTCGAAGTTGAGTGGGGCGTATTATTTCAGCTCATTGGATGACAATATCGATCTTTTACTGATGAAAACCAAATTCGACATCGCTCACGTGTTGAACGACTGTTATTTTATTTAAAAAATAAAGAAAATAAATGTGAATTGTTAGGATCATGTCTTTGAGTTAATATAAGCAAGTATATTTTTGAAAGATGCTAAATTCAGACATAAAAATGAGGAATATTAGCAAGAGACAATCGCTTTGCGATCTTCAGAAAGTTGGGGTGGAACTCGAATTTGTCTCAACCAGGCAACCCAAGGACCTTTTCAGTACCTCTTTATGATCTCCAAGTGTCAAAATACTAAAACGAGCAGAGATCTGTTACACGACAACTTGTTACAATGTATAGGCCTTAATAGGTGTGAAAAAAGTAAGAAAAAAATCACTATCAATAATT